CACAGCGGTCAAAACATGTTTAGCTATGTTTCTTACCGTCCAAGAGATGATTTTATCAGTCATTATCTGTATGTAATTACACAAACTATCGTGTGGGAGATTGCCGTAACAGTTATAATGAGTATATAATTCCTTGTTACATTTGATGATAAGAACCGTGCATTGAAATCAGGCGAATCAGTTGAAATACCGTGTGATTTCAGTCCGGTGCTGGCTCACAAATGAATCTTATTGGATAGTTTTGTTTACACGCACCATCAATTCGAGGAGCTGCCTACGGCCACAAACCTGAAAGGAAATACGTCAATTCCATGTCTACGTAAGAAGGAAATCCTATCAGACAATAGGGAAAAAAAATCTTTATATCAGCCGGTGGACTAGGCTTTCATTGTGGAGTGTCGGTCAGTCAGGGAAACCAACATTTTAAATTATAATTAATCTTTCAGTTTGCCTTCATAATTTAACGAATTCTCAACTCAGTAAACAGACTATACTTACATGTTTGGCTTTACAATCAACTCACATCAATTTCTCCTCTCCGTTTGATCAAGGGCTATTGGAGCCTTATCTCTTGCGATTTTATCGGCAGTATATTTTGGTACTCGGTTGAATGAAAGAAAACGCAGGTCATGATCTGTCACAATTTGAGGAAAAGTTAGTAATGTTTGGTTTTGCAATCAACTCACATCGATTTCTCCTCTCCATTTGATCAAGAGGCTATTGGAGCCTTATTTTTGTTGCGTTTTTTATTGGCAGTATATTTTGGCATTCGGACATGCCCACTGATTTGAATGGGAGAAAACTCGAGGTCATGGACTTTCACAATTCATGATGTCATCGGCACTTGACAATATTTACATCAAGACAACTAACTAAAGCACGTACGATGAATAACTGACTTCATGATAAATAATTTTGTGCTTGTTGCGGTCAACTTAAGGAGTCTTCCTTCACCATGACGTAGGAAGCGATTGTATATGTTTTTATAGGTCTCCTTTACATGCTTGCATGGGGTAGTTGCCTTAGTATCGTGTTATATAAAGGATGTTGAGTGGGCAGCCACTGGCTAGAATTTCAAAAGAGAGGCAAAGTTTAAAACAATAAGTTTAAAACGATTCGGTCATTTTGCACCCAGTTAAATACAGTATTCGAGTTAATCCTTGGACGAATAAGGCGAAATGTAGCAAAAAGAATGTCGATAAACTGTATGGACTTCTGGAATTACAAGAAGTACCGGGTCACCGGGACAACAAGAACTCGCTACAGATTTTGCATAATACAGGAAGTATATGCAAACCATAGGGACGACTTTATTCTAAACTTAGTTCAATGCACTATATACACCACACATAGGCCGGTCAGGAACTGCCATCTTAAAGCCAGAACAACAGGAAAAGCGCAACCGATATAAAGGAACTTATATGATTACAACAACTACAACGGGTTACTTTTAATAACGACTACCGCGGTTCGTACAGTTACGCCATCTTCATTCCACTACGACAACCAGACAATACAAGGCCGTAGCTAGCAACAGACAAACCGAGGCACTTGCCTAGGTAATGTTTTTTCGTTTTTGTTGTTTATAATCATCATAACCATCCTAAATACCTACGAAGAGAATTTAACCATGGACATTGCCTCAGTCATAATTTTCTCTTAGACATCGCTTCAGTCATAATTTTTTCATGGACATTGGCTCAATCATATTTTTTCATAGACATTGCCTCAGTCATAATTGTTTCACTGATAGACATTGCCTCAGTCATAATTTTTTTTCTGGTTACAGCCCTGCAATGTATCAGTTATACACGTTACCGTGACAAGTTTTTATGAGTACTATATTCGTGACGACAGGGAATTACACTCTATTTGTAATAGAGTGATAAGTCAAAGGTTAAGTTCGGCACTTTCCGTTAAAACGACATTTTTGCTTTGCTAGACTACTGAAGCACTAATCAAATACTATTCAAAACAATCATATCATGCCTGGCACTTAAAAAGGAAAATAAGATGTTTATTTCTTTTGAATGAAATGTCAGGGTTTCCTTTGCTTGAATAAACAAAGACCACTAGTCGCACGAAACTTGACGTACATTACAACTGAAACTAAATTTCTTTGTGACAGATGTTTAGCGCTTGCGTTCATTCGGAGTCAGTTTGATGACTTCGCTTCAGGAGTCCCTGGGTGAACATCGCGGCAGCTAGACAGTGTTAGCCACTTTTCAGTGAGTTTAAACGATTCAGAATCGAATTGCTGAGCTGATCTTCAATTCAAGAGCTCTCTTGAGGAAACCTCTGAAAAGTAAGTAGAGATTTTGATAATGATTACAACGTTACATTTAAAATTAATGCGAGGGCCATATTTCAAGAGCTTGTCGCAAAGCAAAGCACTTTTCCATGACTGTATTCACTCTTCGAGGTACATTATTCCCGAGTTTTCAATCTGTTCAATTAATATACATCAAGTTAGCAATATTTCTGTAACAAGTACTCATTATGGTGGATTAGAAAGTTACACGAAATATTCTGTTCGCGATATAATTTCGCTTTCCTTTATGATTTTATTCAGAGTTCAGTATTCGTTATTCTTCTTAAAGTAAAGTAAAGTAAAATCCTTAGCTCCTCTTCAACAAATAACAGAACACTTTATATCAGTAAAGTTACTTCGTAGTGTCTCTTGGAGCCGGCTGAAATATGTGTTATGTGCCCAATGCATATAGGCGAATTAATTTCATAACGAGACGAATCGGCCTCGTTGGTGCAATATCGGTTTCAATCTCGTATTAAACGTTCAACTGTCAGAATATATGTCCCTGTAGGGATAAAACTGTTCTGAATCTTAACCTGCGCCTTGAAAAATTAATAGCTGCATTTTTAAGCCTATTTTAACAGCAAAATTAAAAAAGATTCGTCATGCGTTGGAAAAATACTGGAATAATTGAATGATTCTGCAGAACATCAGACGAGAAAACTATATTGTTTTGAGAATTCGGAAACTGGGTTAAAACCCAAACGTACGTAAGTTCCTGTCAGATATTTCTCCTCATGCAGTAAAAATAACTTTTCACAGACGAGGTTTCTATGGTTACATTTCTATAACGACTCCCTGCTCAGTAATCCACGTGTTTTGAGTCTACCTGTAAACGTGACGTAACGTAACGAATAACGTTACGTAACGTTAGAAATATGCCAACCAGGTGAGGTGTGCGCCGAGCAAGGCGATTAACTGCAAGAGTGGAGCTTTTAGCAACTGACGTTGATTTACTAGTTTATCGACCACCCTCCACCCTCCTGCCGAAAAAAAAGCAATGTGCTTTCAAAATATACGAGTATGTTCTCTGCGTTTTCATTGGCTGATAATTAGCTATCGACTCCAGCGGTACGCTGACACTGAAAAGCATCAGACAGGTCACCATAGCAACAGTGGCTTTTCGTCGAATAACAGAGAAAGAGACGTTATTAAGAAAGATAATTAAAAAATATGTTTTGGAATTAGACAATAGAACTTCCACAGAAATAATCAAACAACATATACGACTGAAAACAACAATATATCAGTACAATGAGATGTCATTATTGTTTTCAACGGGCAGAAACTGAATCTGTTTTGTAACCAAAAGTTAGCGTTTGAACTTTGACTCTTTTTCCTCTTTTTCAATTGTTTTTCTCTCCCGCCTCCTTAATTAGTGTATGCGACGCTTCCACGTCAAGAAAGTTGAAGAAACGAAGTCAAAGAAGGCCGAAACATACGACCCTCCTTAAAACTCCAACCGTAATTAATTTCATCAAACATTGAAATGTCAGCAGCGGATGTAATAGCAAGGAACGGACGTAATAGACGTGTTTTTATATAATTACATGGTGCTTTTCTGTGTACATCTAAACTTGTTCTCTCACTGACAGTGCACGTACGAACTTATAGCTCGACATTGAAAGGTTTTTGTTAATACTAGAATCTGCTTGGATTTTGGCGGACCTGTGCTGACGGGTGTACTAGTGAAGTGCTGGCCTGCAGTGCTCTGAAGACGACTGTACTCGAAGCGGTAAGTTGTGATAATTCGTTATTATTCAGTATACTGCCACAATAAAATTCATTTGGTGACCCTGTCTCAGATAATTCAAGCCAAGAGAAGACATAAAGCATCCAGTGTAAGAGCTGTTCACAGATTCGAGCAAGCCACACCATTTGAACTCATTTCCAATTTTATAAATGAGATTTAGAAGGAGTAGAGAAAGCTTTCCTTTGTAGTTTGAGTATCTCAACTGATCTCAGGATAATTGCAAATTAAAGCCGAGATTCGTTCGTGGCCTTTCGCCTCTTGGACAAAAGACCTAGCTTCACTTTTCAAAATAGGTTCTCAACGATAGGAAAGTATTTATGACGCCATGAGAGAAAGAGCTGTATTAAACGGCTTCTAAATAAATTACACCGCTGATGAATTACTACTGAATATTACTCACAGCAGCGGGCAAGAAAACTTTGAAGTTATATGAAACTTAGTCGCCTCTGTAAACAACTGCGGCTTGTAGGTCAAGGCTTAACTTGATTGAAATTCATATTCTGAAAGATCAAGTTTAATATTCTAAGTAGGCGGTTTCGTGTCTTCTCTTGACTGAAAGATGAAATGTTTCAATTGTGAACTTTTGACATGATTTAGCCACAAGGAAAACACTTGCTGAAGTTGCCATCGAGTAAAAAGAGATTTTACAATGATCTGTTGCCTGGTGAATGACATTACAACAAATCACAACGATGACAATCGTCTGGAGTTTGGCATTTTGACCTGCACTTGCCAGCACTCAAAACTGCGGAAGTAAAGACTGTCTGAAAGTTACCGCAACCAAATAACAAGATCACAGATCTGACAAACACTGTC